AGAATCAAATGTTTGAATACTTTACAATCTCTTATCAGGGTAAGGTGGATAAAAAGTGATGACGTCGACAAAGATATGAGGTTCTTATTTTAGGGAACCCTAAACAGTTCTATTTCCTCAGGGTTCACCTAAGCTCAACTAAATGCGTTATTAAAGTATTTATATGTTGTTTAGGAGTAAAACAACTAGAATGAAACAATTATCTGTTGGAAAAGCCTGGTTTCCAAGAGTTCTGTGAATGACTTCAATGATGATAAAAATTATCTTTGAAACAATAAAGATTTTGTAAGATTAAAACCATCAAATTCATTTATCAAAATATTTTTATTAATTGTTAACATTTTCGTAATAAGCAATACTTCATCGCTACTTTTTTGTAGATTGTCTTGTTATTGGTTGAAACATTTTACATACAATCAACAGGCAACAGGTTTTAATCCGGACTTAAATACTTTGAATTGAGCCATTGAATTGTATCAATTCCCTAAATACATATAGAGACCATAAACTTGTACATTGACTGGACACAGACTAGTTTTCAATGCCACGTTTATGTAGTCTGTTAGTACTGATCAAATTCTATCCATCAGCCTGCAATGTACCTACTGTTAAAAGTAACACAAAACCACCTAGAATATATTCTGATGTCAGTTGGTTGGAGGTGGTCAGAAAGAAGCCCTGAATTCGGCTGTATCCTATTTGAAACTTGTCCACAAGAAACCTAGGTGGAGGGTCTTCTGGAAAATGCCTTTAAACACACAATCTCAACTTGAAAAACCAGTCTTATGCATTGATATACACTTAAATTTAAAGGACTTTGAAACAACTTTACTAGTTGAATTCATAAACCGATGTAAGCCAGACCACTATTGAAAATCTGAAAGCAGTGGACGGTCGTCTCGTCCTAGTATGAAACAAAGTCTAGAAGTTAAACGTTCGCGCGTGAGACAGTAGGTCATCAGTTAGAGTTCCACATGTAGGATCGTGGATGCTCATCGTTGATTAGTTCTATATTAGAAAGAAACTGTCATTCAATTACTCCAGGTTTTCGATGGTTGTCTAGCTTAGATCAACTCATGAATTCAGTTAATAAAATTACTACAATCTACACAAACCTCTATTCGGATACGAATTTTATTTGATATATCTATTCGGAAATTTAATAGTATAATTAGTTTTTTTATCCGAATTAAATTTGGCGTTTACTTTTTTGAAGAAAACTGCTAAAATAGTAAACTAGAGTTTTGTAGATTATTGATTATATGCTTTATTTTATGTAAAAAAAAACTAAATCCCAAACTTTCAATGTGATAATCAAGTAAGAATTCAAGAAAGAATCAGTACAACACAAAATTTAGCGTTTACTGCTTGAACTGAACTATATTAATTATCAATTTAGAATTTGTTTTAAAATTGAAGACAAGTTTAACATCGGTGAAATCATCATAATAGACAACTATCGAAAACCTAAGTACACAATACAGTTATTTTGTCCTAGAATGAGATTTATGAGTGTATGGTATTTATCGCGATTATTATAGTTTCATAGTTTACATCATTAACTGATAGTTGCAATCTCAGTAATCTAGAAGTTAACTGCTCTCTTCTACGACATGATGAATTATTGTGAATATCATTGAGGGGTCCTTCTTTGGAATGAAACATTTGTTTAGTACATTGTCTTTTTCGAGTAGTTAATCAACTTAAATCAATACAAAATGTAAACTATGAAAATTCAACAGTTTCCACAAACACTAAGTACTAACACGTCAAATCCGTTAAACATTTTTTAAGTTGACCAGACTATGTTATTCATTACGACCAAATTAAAAAAAATTGAGTTTGCGAAATAAGACTCTATATATCATCAAAAGCTCCCGAAACCATTAATAGAAGTAGAATGTAAAGATGAGGCAATCCGAATCAAAACTCAAACATAAATAACTTATACTTCATTGTATTCAGCAGGCGGTCTTTTTGAATATCTGGACTACCTGTTCTTGCTATCTAGATATTTCAACAAGTTGTCTGTATTTTTGTTTGTTTTAACACATCATTATGTCTATTAATTGCATAACCTACTCAAATGCGTCTATGAAAAGTATACTACCTTTCTCTGTACAAGTTCCAAAAAAGTACAATCACAGACATTGTGGTGGGTGGCAATATGCATTAAATAGAATGAATACTAATTCAAATGTCGTTTCCTGAACTTCCAACTTCTAACTTGCAATCACTAAATATTTATCGTCAAAGTCAATCAAGAAAAAATAAAAAGAGAAACTTTTCGAATTACTTTGTACTGAGAATTCAGCAAGATTAAAATTTATGAACGAATCAATCAGATTTATATTAGCAAATCTTGGAATTTGGCATGTAATTCATTCATTCATTTGTCTAAATATCATTTTGGCATGATTACTGATATCAGTTCGTGATGAAAATATTAAATCGATTTCTAAACCCTAATGTCCAATTGTAAATGCTAATCTTAATTTCTCACATTACTATAAAATCTTTATATAACCCTAATAAGTAGGTGAACATTCCAAGGTCATTTTAAAGTTCCTCAAAGGTTGTTCATAAATTATAGTCTTACCGAGAATTCTATAATCTACCAAACATATAAAATACTGAATGAAGCTTATAAATAATATATAATTAATAGTAATAATTGGTGAGTTGAAGAAGTAAATATGCCAAAATCAAAAACAATTTTTTATGCCTATTTTGTTCCTTTCGATATAACCGTTAATAATGGTTCCCCCTAAAATTTCATTTCTATAATAAAGGCTATTTAAGTGAGGATATATTTTCTATCAACTAACTTATAAATCTAGAAAGAAACTATTAACGTGTATAAATTTGTACTCAGATTAGTTATATTACGCAATCATAATAATAATAATACCGGATAACTGATAAGAAGTTTTGAATAAACAATAAGTTTACTACAATCATTATATTTTAATTGGCTTCGTGACTACTTTTATGAAATACATGATGGGATGTGTTGTATCGATTGTTTGTGTACATGTCCTGTTTAATATATATGACGTTATAAGACCGCTAATTGGAGAGCAGTGTTTTATCGATCGGATCAAAAATACATGAAAAACAGTCTTGAGTGCTACCTGCCTAGCCCAGTTAGTTAAGTCCAGAACACCAATAACAGCCTCTGTAATATAAATTATAATATTTCAAGTATACTGAGTTTATATACCAAACAAACTCACCACATCGTACCATAAAATAGAAAATAACATTTGTACAATATTTGGCCAAATGTGGCTGCGAATAGGGGTAACAGTAATTGATAGACTGGAGATAACTCAAGAATGGTAAATTATATAATAATAGTCTATAGATCAAAATAAAGCTTATAATAAGATGGACACGAATATGAATAGTTTAGTTATTTAACAATTATACAATAGGAGATATGCTTATCATATTGGTCTATAAGTAGTTCTCAAAGTTACCATTCATAAATCTCCACGGGATATAACAGGATGACTACTGATTAACTAAAAAGTAGCTTTCATATCATGGTGATTTCAAAAGTCGCTTAAAATTGATTACCATATCATGAATTTACCAAATTATCCTTATAATACATTATCCAGAGGATTTTAACGCTGAAAATGTAGATTGTTTCCTGCTTTCATTCCATAACTTATTCTATTTATTGTGTCAATTTACTTTGTACTGATTGTATACTTGTTACGCAATCAAATAATCATCGATCAATCGATTAATTTATAGTACAGATTTATGATATGATTTGTATCATCATGATTACATGATTTCTATGATTTTAATAGTTGAATCGATTTAAGCTAGGCTATCATTAAGATACCCGGAAGCAGTGGAAGGCCGTTTCGTTTTAGTATGTGACACCCCAGTAGTGCTCAACTAAGATCTCCCACTCCATATTTAAACCCATAATCTTTAGCTTCACGCACGAACTAAATAACCTGTAAACCACTGAACCGGCATCCAACAGTGTTGATGTTAAACTTTAACTAATCCATGAAATTAAGCGACACATATATATATAATAATATATAGTAATAAATAATGCAAATCATATATTATTTACATAGATATGTATAAGTTTAACAAAAAAAACTTTAATCAGACATTCAATATTTCAATAGCATAATCTACTCACCAATGACAATATACAACAAATAAATATTTAAAAAAATTAACAATCGATTAAAATTATAAATTTAAATTTTTTTTTTACATAGAAACCAAAAAAAAAACAAAAAAAAGAAGAAACTAACTGGAAAAAAACGGTATTTAGAAAAAAACTATTTTTTTTAAATTTTTTTTTCTTCCTTAAAGAGATAAAAAAACCCCAGCTACTTTACTGTTTTTGTTTGTTTGTTTCTGAAAAACAAAAATACAATCTATAAATTATTCATTTTATATACATAAATAAATATAAATTAAGTTTGGAACAATACTGTATGTTTATATTATTATTATTATATCTAATAAGTAATATAAGTAATATAATATGAATGATAAACAAAACAAACAAAAAAAACTTTTCAAAGTTTGCGCTAAAAAATATTTTTTTTAAATTTTTTTAAAATTTAAAGTAGTCAATTGAAAGAAATTGAATAATCTTATATAAGTAATGCGGTATTTATCATTGTTCATATAGGGTATAAATCAAATGGAAGCACTGATTAGTTGGTTAATTGTTTTATTACTATGAAAGATATTGGAAAAAATAATAAGAATTTATAAACGATGAATATTCTCATTGAGATCATCAGAATCATTGATAATGAATTTAATTGATTTCTCTGTATTTATGTCGTCCTCTAGGTCCTTCTCATTCTTCTTTTCATCATTATCATTATCTTTTGATTTCACCTTTAATTCCTCATTTATTTCTTCAGCTTTAATAAGAGCTTTCAATTTATCAATATCATCATCATCATCATCATCATCATTTTCTTCTTTTTCATTATAGTTTTCTTCATCTTCTTCATTTAAATAAGCTTTATTATGTGTACCATTTAAATTGACTTTATTATAATTATTATCTGAATGTATAGTTGATTGTTTTAAATGTTTTAATGCAAGACTACGTGATTTCATTACATCTAATAATGCTTCATCAAAATCTAATTGTCTTTTCTCTTTTGGTACTAAACTAGGTCTACGTGAATAACGTAATGCTTGTTTTACATTTGGTGTATTATTTATATCACCAGTTAATGTAGATAAACGTCTACGTATTACACCATTATCAGTAGTATTATTATTAGTAGTATTATTTGATTCAATATCTTTTATATTTGTTGAATGATTAGTTAAATTTGATATATTTAATATAGATAAATTATCATTAATTAAACCTGGTATTGATAATGTTGATATATGTGATGTAATAAATCGATTTTTTAATGTTTCCGGTAAATCTTTTAATATAATTTCAGTTTTACTAGGACGCATAGTAGCATAATGCATTTTTAATGTAATTTTTTCATAAATTTTTAACATTTTTTGATTATATGTATTTGATTCACGTTGTAATAATTTACGTAAATATTGTTCATCAATACGTTGTATTAAATCTCTAATTACATTACGTCCAATAGATCCAATAAGACATTCAATACCAGCTAATGTTTCATCTATAATACTATCATTTAATGAATCAAATAAACTTAACATTTGTTTATTTTCCATACGTATTTTTAATAATTTCACTAATGGTTTCATTGTTATACCCATAAATCCAACAGTAAATAATATAATAAATAATGTTGTTGTTATAATTAATTCACGATTATAGTTACCATGGATACCAAGTTTAGTGGGTAATATTAATACAGATAATGAAAATGCTACAGCACCACGTAAACCACCATAAATTAATACAATTTGTTGTGTAATAGTAATTTTTGTATTAGAAAATGATGTATAATTAACAATAGCTGTAATAAAAAATACAACTATAGAACGTGATATTAAACACCATATTAATGCCCATAATATATAACCAGTATGCCATACAAGTTTAATAGATACAACTTCAATACCTAAGAATAAAAATATAACAGATTCACTCATTTCTGATACAACTTTAGTTAAATTTCTAACCATTGTTATAGAATTTCTATCTAAATTATGAAATGCATAAGCAGCTTGTATTAAACCACAACCAATCATTGATATAATACCAGACCAACCAACACAATCAGCCATAATATATGAAAAATATGCTAATAATAATAAACTAAAAGCATTTAAACGACTTTTAATACGTGTTATTAAACATGTTATAATACCAAAAAATACTCCAATAAATAAACCACCAAAACTAACAGTAAAAAATGATGCAATCCCTATGCCAATTTCTTTACCAGTAACAATCTCTTTACCAGTAAATGCATCCATAATATCATATAATACAACTGTAACAGCATCATTTAATAATGATTCACCAAATACAATATAATATAAACCTAATTCAACACCAATATCTTGAAAAATAGCTAATACAGCAACAGGATCCACGGCAACTATTAATGAACTAAATAATAAAAATGTTTTAATATCCATATCTAATTGTGGTTGTCCAAATCCCCCTATCGCATAGATACCATACATAATAAAACCAATTAATAAAAAATTAAATATTGTACCTAATACAGCAAATATTAATACAGTACCAAGATATTCACTAAATGTTCTATTATATAAACTATATGCTGATTCTAATACAATAGGAGGTAATAAATAAGTAAAAAATAATAAAGGTGTTAGTTTCCATACAGTTTTATTATTAATACCATGATCAATACCATAACGTACTATAGCACCAAATATAATACCAATAATAATTAAGATAAATGATTCTGGTATATAGATAGATAAATAAGGTACACGATGATAAATAATTTTAATCATAATCATAATTAATAAAAATAACATTACAGCTATATGTATTTCAAATTCATGAAATTTCCATTTGACAACTACTATTTCATTTTCATCATTAATATGATTATGATTTAAGTAGGTTTTATAAGTAGTATTAATATGTATTTGTTGAATATGATCATTATTACAATGAATTGTATAGAGATATATAAGAATGAAAATTAAATAGTAAGTAGGATATTTCATGATGGAATAGATAGATAGATAGATAGATAGATGGAATAGATATATAAGAGATTAGATCCCAATATGGAAATAGTTCTTTATTGAAGATGAATGATGATCTATAAAAGTATCTATGCAATGTATAGTATCTATGTTTAAATGGTATATTATTGAAAGATAAACTGAATAAAGATATGATTCCGAACTTTCTATTCACTATATATATATATATATATATGTTCAATCATAACATTGAGTTATATATGGTCAAGTCTCTCTCTTTTTTTTTCTTTCCTCCCTTCATTTATTCATTTTGTTTCGTTAGATTCTAGCACTCACTCACTCACTCCCTCCCTCCCTCACTCACTCACTCACTCACTCACTTTCTCTCTCCCTCTCATTCTTTTTTTTATATTTTAAGTTTGTTCGTTGTTTTTTTTGACATAAACTAACTATTCTGTCTGTATGCATTCAGTAATATATTACATAAAAATATAATTTTTGTATTTGAATGTCCTTTTTTGCAAAAAAAAAGAAGACAAACAAAAACAAACAAACAAAACAAAAACAGAAAACTGATTACAAACTGTGTTGTTGTTGCTGTTTGTTTGTTTGAAAAACAAATTGACCAATTAAACATTGAGAAGTTGCATAATCAAATATACACATACATATATGTGCACATTTTTATGTATACATACCCCTGACAACGTTTTTTCATCATATTGTCAAAATGAGAATTTTTTTTTCCACAGTTGAAATTATGAGTCAATTGAAGCTAGACCACCATCGAAAACCTGAAACCACTGGACGGCCGTTTCGTCTTATTATGCGACTCCTCGACAGTGCGCATCCACGAACCCACTCTCGCGAGCGAGATTCGAATCCAGGACCTACCAGTCTCGAGCCGAAGCCCTTAACCGATAGACCACTGAGCTGGCGTCCAACGGTGTTAATGTTTAACTACAACCAATCCACGATTTTGAGTGACCGTTCACCAAATGAGAGTTTGTGGAAATTGTAGTCAATTAATGATTATGGATGTGTACTGCTGAGTAGTCTTATACCGGGAAGAAACATTCGTCCAGTGCTTCCAGAGTTTTTAGGGTTGTCTAGCTTAAATTGACATATGAATGTTAGAGAGTAGCATACTTTCTATCAGTATCAGATTCCGAACATCACACATCACAACAGAATATATTTTGTGAATTCCACGGATATTTACTTCTTATTTATTCTTTTTTAACCGTATACAGATAGTCCTACTCTAATCACATCGTATTAGACTGGAAACGTGAGGGGGGGGGGTAAAAGGAGACAACGATAATAGTAATAATAAAGATAATGTGAAAACAATTTGACACCTAATCACTCAATTTAATAAGCCAATATTACCAGGGTAGGTTTGAGGTGAGGACGAACTGTTTTTGAATACACAAAGTGGGTTTGAATTTTCGTATAGCTAAGGCCGCCTGTAGCTCTTCTGGGGGTTACTGACGGTCCAAAGCCCGGGTAAAGGAGGAGGGTTGGGCATGGGGTTAGCGACCCCATCCCGTAGAAAATCAACTCGCTAAAAAAACGCTTACCAGAAAAAATCATTCAAACCATTCAAACTCTGCCCTCGGAGTATAAGGAATAATTATGACGTCTCATGATGAAAGCCGAGTTCCTTCGGAAGTCACGAGGCCGATGCATCTTCTAACAACTAGAGAAACAATTTTTAAAGGTACATGGAATGTCCGTACAATGTGGGAGACCGGAAGAGTCTTCCAAATTTCTGCAGAAATGAGAAAATACAACCTGGAGGTGTTTGGAATCAGCGAAACACATTGGACGCAGGTTGGACAACAACGACTGTCTTCAGGGGAACTTCTGTTATACTCCGGTTATGAAGAAGAAAATGCTCCATATACACAAGGAGTTGCATTGATGCTGTCCAGAAAAGCACAAAATGCACTTATTGGATGGGAATCTCATGGACCGAGGATCATCAAAGCCTCCTTCAGAACAAAGAGAGAGGGCATTACAAAGAACGTTATCCAATGCTATGCGCCTACCAATGACTACGATGAAGACGCTAAAGACCAATTCTACGATGGGCTGCAGTCGATCTTCGAGAAGTGCCCAACCAAGGACCTGACAATTCTTATGGGAGATCTCAATGCTAAGGTTGAAATGGACAGCACTGGATACGAAGACGTCATGGGACAACATGGACTGGGAGAAAGGAACGAAAATGGTTAGAGATTTGCAAACCTATGTGCCTTCAATAAACTGGCCATAGGTGGCACCATATTCCCACACAAAAACATGCACAAAGCCACTTGGATTTCACCGGATCACACTACACAGAATCAAATCGACCATATCTGCATCAACAAAAAGTTCAGGAGGACGATGGAGGATGTGAGAACCAGAAGAGGAGCTGATATAGCATCCGATCATCATTTGATGGTAGCCAACATGAAACTAAATCTCAAGAAGCACTGGACAACGGCGTGGACAGCATCACAAAAGTTTAATACGACCCTTCTTCGAGATGCTGACAAACTCAACAAATTCAACATAGCCCTCAGCAACAGGTTCCAGGCTTTTCATGATCTACTCAATGGAGAGGGGACTACCATGGAGAGCAACTGGAAAGGTATCAAGGAGGCAATCGTTTCAACATATCAAGAGATTCTGGGCCAAAAGAAGCACCATCACAAGGAATGGATCACTGTTGGTACACTGGATAAAATTGAAGAAAGGAGGAACAAGAAAGCAGCAATCAATATCAGCCGAACCAGAGCGGAAAAAGCCAAGGCACAAGCCGAATACAGAGAGGCAAACAAGCAAGTGAAGAAGAGCATCAGAATCGACAAACGTAAATATGTGGAAGATTTAGCAATGACAGCGGAAAAGGCTGCAAGAGAGGGAAACATGAAACAACTGTATGATACAACAAAGAAACTTGCTGGAAATTACCGTCAACCAGAAAGACCAATGAAAAGCAAGGAAGGCAAAGTAATCACCGACATTTAAGAACAACGAAACAGGTGGGTAGAACACTTCAAAGAACTCTTGAATCGACCAGCTCCACTGAACCCACCCAACATCGAAGCAGCACCCACGGACCTCCCAATCGATATTGGCCCACCAACAATTGAAGAGATCAGCATGGCCATTAGACAAATCAAGAGTGGCAAAGCAGCGGGACCAGACAACATCCCGGCAGAGGCACTGAAAGCAAACGTAGCAGCAACTGCCAAGATACTCCACATCCTCTTCGGTAAGATTTCGGATGAAGAACAAGTACCAATAGACTGGAAAAAAGGAATTCTGATCAAGATACCGAAGAAAGGCGATCTTAGCAAATGCGACAACAACAGAGGCATCACTCTCCTCTCAATACCAGGAAAAGTCTTCAACAGAGTATTGTTAAACAGGATGAAGGATTCCGTGGACGCCCAACTTCGAGATCAACAAGCTGGATTTCGTAAGGATAGATCGTGCACAGATCAAATCGCAACTCTACGTATCATTGTGGAACAATCAATCGAATGGAATTCATCACTCTACATCAACTTCATCGACTACGAGAAGGCATTTGATAGCGTGAACAGGGCAACACTATGGAGGATTCTTCGACACTACGGCGTGCCTGAGAAGATAGTCAATATCATACGGAACTCCTATGATGGACTAAACTGCCAAATCGTCCACGGAGGACAACTCACCGACTCGTTCGAGGTAAAGACTGTTGTTAGGCAAGGCTGCTTACTCTCACCTTTTCTCTTTCTCCTGGTCATCGACTGGATCATGAAAACGTCAACGACTGGAGGAAATCACGGGATACAGTGGACAGGCAGGATGCAGCTTGACGATTTAGATTTCGCGGATGATCTGGCTCTTCTATCACAAACGCAACAACAAATGCAGGAGAAAACGACCAGTGTAGCAGAAGCCTCAGCAGCAGTAGGTCTCAATATAAACAAAGGTAAAAGCAAGACTCTCCGATACAATACAATATGCACCAATCCAATTACACTTAACGGAGAAGCTTTGGAAGATGTGGAAGCCTTTACATATCTGGGCAGCATCATTGATGAACACGGTGGATCAGATGCATATGTGAGGGCGCGGATCGGCAAAGCAAGAGCAGCATATTTACAACTGAAGAACATCTGGAACTCAAAACAATTGTCAACCAACACCAAGGTTAGAATTTTCAATACAAATGTCAAGACAGTTCTACTGTATGGGGCGGAGACGTGGAGAACTACGAAAGCCATTATCCAGAAGATACAAGTGTTTATTAACAGCTGTCTACGCAAGATACTTCGGATCAGATGGCCAGACACTATCAGCAATAAGTTACTGTGGGAGAGAACAAACCAGATTCTAGCAGAGGAAGAAATCAGGAAGAAGCGCTGGAAGTGGATTGGGCACACCTTGAAGAAATCACCGAATTGCGTCACAAGACAAGCCCTCACATGGAATCCTGAAGGCCAAAGTAGAAGAGGAAGACCAAAAAACTTATTACGCCGAGAAATAGAGACAGACATGAGAAGAATGAACAAGAACTGGATAGAACTAGAAAAGAAGGCTCAGGACAGAGTGGGTTGGAGAAAGCTGGTCGGCGGCCTATGCTCCATTGGGAGTAACAGGCGTAAGTAATTAAGTAAGTAAGTAAGGCTTTAGCAAACCTTAGTATACGCCCTTTCACACTTTTATACAACACCATAAAAGCCAAGTTTAGATCAATCTTATGGCCTGTTTCTATTATATATATATATATATATATATATCACATAGTCCTGATAATCTTCGTTATCTTATTACACTATCAAAATTTATCAAAGGGACTAACTGCTTTAAATTTCTTAAAAGAAGACTCCCTGCACATACCAACTATATATATTTGAATCTGTATCAATTATCTAATAATTAGTTGATTAATAATGCAACAACTCTCGTACTCATCTCTTTCTCTTCATTTCTAGTAAATTGAAACAAACATTCAATGTTCAATACCTTATCATTTTCTTATGTTTTCTTCTTTTTACACAAGTTGCAGATGAAATCAATTGCATTGACCGTTTGACCCCTTCACTGTAAGCAAATTTTCTTCAGTTCAAAGTAAAATGGGTCGACTCTCAAAAACATGAACAATTTTAAACAGAAAAAACAAACATCTTTATTTGACCTGTAATC